CACAATCAACGGTAATAGCTGTTTGACCTTGGATGGCGTTGCCAAGGTCAGATCAAGGTCAAATTGAATTTTTTAAATGGAATTGCCTACTTTTTATTGCATATTCTTGTAGCTTATCTCGAGTTTTTCAAAACGCTATAATAAAGTATTTTTTCATTAAGTACTTTTTGAGTTTTTTTATATTTTAATCTGACATATTTTGATATAAAAATTAAAATATCTCGTAAAATATTTAGTTTTCGGTAATCTTACCGTAATACTTTTATGTTCAGAATAATGAGACAAATCAATTAGTGTAAAGAAAAAAACAAATAATTGTTTTAAAAAATACATTGTAAATAATTATATACTTTTTCTTAAAAACAATTATTTTTTTTTTACTAATTGATTTGTCTCATTATTCTGTACATAAAAGTATTACGGTAAGATTCTCGAAAACTAAATATTTTACGAGATATTTTAATTTTTATATCGAAATATGTCAGATTAAAATATAAAATAACTCAAAAAGTACTTAATGAAAAAATACTTTATTATAGTGTTTTGAAAAGCTTTCGAGATAAGCTACAAGAATATGCAATAAAAAATGAGGGGTTTGATTTAAGAAAATATCGATCACATTGACTTGGCCTTGAAAAGGTCACTCAAGGTCAAGTCCATATTTTCATCATGTGTCCCCCTCTGAACCCTATAACTTTTGTATAAAACATTTTTTCCCATCTTGCTTACTGTACGAGATATTTGCGTGCGTTGATTAAAATGACTATATATGTCAATCGACTATTTTGACGACAGCAAAAAACCAAACATTTTATTGTATACATAAGAGTACATTCACTCCCTGACGTATACATTACTTGCAGTTTTGTGATAAAATGCACTGGTACGTATGTATAAGGAATTAAGTATAGATTGATTAGTACAGCGACAGTACAAAATTATGTATAGTACATTATACTATTCGGCTATTTTGACGACACCACTTTTTCCATAAAACAGTTATTTTAACGACACTCCAAAAATAAATAAGTATAAGAAATATACTATCGAAACTTGCATGTAAATATAAAAACTTTATGTATTATTTAATTTAATTAAATTATTCCTTTTAGAGTACAGAGCGACTTTTTTCTTTTAGATCCTTCTTTCGCAAAATTAAATTTATTGATTAAGTATAATTTTATTAAAATCTGAAGTGAGGCCCATAAACTAAACATTTACCATAATTTTCAATGGAAATATTGAAACTAGAGTCGAAATAAATATATTCAATGGACTCTCTATCACTCTCTCTCTCTCTTTCTCTCTCTCTCTGTAAACTTCTGTAAACCAACAAAGACTATATAAGACTATATAACAAGAAGAATGTACAGTAAAATTGGAATAGAGTATTAGTTGTTAATAGTTGTTTATAGAAGCAAATATATTACAAAGTGTTGCATATATTACATGGCAAAAACATGAATTATGTTTCCTGGGTTGTGTTTTTGAATGAAATTTGTGTTTTTGCTTTTAAAGTATCTGTAATACCATTTTCTTTCTATGTTTTTCTCTCTTTTTTCTAGTTTATTAGCTAATTTTATTGATTAAGGACATGTTACTGGCTTTATGGAGTTTGGTTTTCTATAGATAGCTTTTCTATTACAGCGGTATTAGTTATTTTGTTAAAGAAAATATAGCATGAAAAAGTACAATTAGACAACAAAGTGTCCAGAATACAACTGTTTTATATCAAGAAAAATAAAAAAAAAATAACATAGATAAAAGACTTATGGCACAAAAGGTTACATGTATATACTTTTGTATACCAGATTCTTTCTCTATTTATTGTGTTATACTACGTACAATATACATATCACAAATGGTATAAGTACATTGGTATAATAGTATAAGTATATAATGATATAAGTATAGATACAATGATATAAGAAAGAACATTGGTACAATATATTTATATATGTATCTACATACAAATAAGTATATAGATATGTACAGACAGATAGTTACATAAGATAGATAGTTACATAAGACAGTTACATATACATACATAATTTTTTGTAATTGTCAATGAGCAGGAGAAATTGAGCAAATGTACATAAAAGATTTTGAAAATTAGGAAACTTTGGAAGATTCTATTATTGAACACATCAAGAGACAAGATGAAAAGAAGAAATTTGTTAAAGACTTTTTAAAACTATTAATTGTGGTACAAGTATCAACAAAACTGTACTCGAAACGCAACCCACACAGAGCTACATATCTAATCGATATCTACTGGATATCGACATATCCATATAATGTCCATATCTACTATGGATAATCAATAGATATCTATAAGATATCAAAAATATCTATATCTCCCGTATAACCAGCTGGGATATCTAGTGGATATCCACATATTATCCACACATCCATGTTAACTAAAAATTTATTTTCATTGGATATTGTATGGATACCTAGTGGATATTTATGTAGATATTCATTGGATATTGTATGGATACCTAGTGGATATTTATGTAGATATTCATTGGATATTGTATGGATACCTAGTGGATATTTATGTAGATATTCATTGGATATTGTATGGATACCTAGTGGATATTTATGTAGATATTCATTGGATATTGTATGGATACCTAGTGGATATTTATGTAGATATTCATTGGATATTGTATGGATACCTAGTGGATATTTATGTAGATATTCATTGGATATTGTATGGATACCTAGTGGATATTTATGTAGATATTCATTGGATATTGTATGGATACCTAGTGGATATTTATGTAGATATTCATTGGATATTGTATGGATACCTAGTGGATATTTATGTAGATATTCATTGGATATTGTATGGATACCTAGTGGATATTTATGTAGATATTCATTGGATATTGTATGGATACCTAGTGGATATTTATGTAGATATTCATTGGATATTGTATGGATACCTAGTGGATATTTATGTAGATATTCATTGGATATTGTATGGATACCTAGTGGATATTTATGTAGATATTCATTGGATATTGTATGGATACCTAGTGGATATTTATGTAGATATTCATTGGATATTGTATGGATACCTAGTGGATATTTATGTAGATATTCATTGGATATTGTATGGATACCTAGTGGATATTTATGTAGATATTCATTGGATATTGTATGGATACCTAGTGGATATTTATGTAGATATCCTATAGATATTTATGAGATCTCGAATGTCGGACATTTGGATATCCATAGCATGTCTAATAGCTGTTTCTGTATATCCTGTGGATATCCCTGGTAGACATTGAAGATATCTAGCAGATATCTAATACATATCATTTTTCTGTGTGGGAATCGGCTCGTAAAAAACATAAGAAAATAAATCTCCCATCACTGGAAGATATTAAAAGGTTGCATAACCATTTGGCAAAAAAAAAAAAAAAGAACTGAAGCTTATACAACATTAAAAGAGTCTTTTTCATATGAGAAATGGATTTCTTTAGCAGAAGTAACATTAACTTCAATGCATGTTTTTAATAGATGACGAGCAGGAGAAATGGAACGAGCACATATAGAAAATTTTGAAAATTATGAAAGAGTAAATAAAAACATGTACAGTGACATTTAGGATGCGTTCGGAAACATCACCCGTGTGCACACGAGCGTCGTTCTATCTTTGTTATTTACTAAAAGTTGAACAAAGATAGAACGATACTCGTGCGCACATGGGTGATGTTTCCGAACGCAGCCTTATAAATCATTATCCACGGAAGATAAAAAAATTGCTGAGAAATATGTCCTATTTTGTATCAGAGGGAAATTGGGACGTACAGTATTTTACTGTCAAACGATCTTCCTGATTGTGTTACCTTAATCTTGAAATATCGTAAAAAAGCTAACCCAGTAAGCAATTTGATAACAAATTGTTGCCAAATTGGCATCAAATTCGCTCAAAACTTGGTAACAAATCCAGTGCCATCTGTGTCCGCATTAAGCTTGTGTTTTGGTGACAAAGCTTGCTAACATAACCTGACAGCAAATTGACGGCAAAAAACGAGCAAAGCTTGACATGATTTGACGTCAAATTGGTGGCAAAAATCGAGCAAGATCTGCGCAAGACAATCTGACAGCAGATTGTCAGCAAAAACCGAACAAATTCTGCAGCTTATGGCCATTCATATAAAATAGTATATTTAAATGGATTTAAAGTCTCAACCATAAGTAACAAAATGATGATAAGTTTTAGTCATAAAATGACCATTAGATAATTAGACATCCTAAGTTAGGTCTCATAAGACCCAAAATATATCACATCAACGGGAGACCATTTTCTGACGTTCTTTTGATGGCAAAAATAAGACAAATTACAGTATTGTTATATAAAATCATATATTAATGTGTTAAAACATATAGTAATAACAACTCTTGCACCAAATTTGTAGCCTTTTTGCTGACAATAATTTGTAGCAAGCACTTGGCTATATCTGTTAGAACAGACGTGGCTGACTGGGAATGTACCGCAGAAAAATCCTTATATTTTTGGATTACCTAGTATCAACAAAGATAGACACCGATATCTTAGAGCCTGTCTTTTAATACATAAATTCGCACAAAAATGTAACGCAAATCAATCAACTACTTTGTGCGGTACAACATTACGAAAACATATAGCAACACATTGCATTCAACTTAATCTCAATGATATTGATGTTTCGGATCTTGCCACATTTATGGGTCATGCTGATAAAATACATAGAGAACATTACAGGCAACCAATAGCAAGCAGAGATATACTTAAAATTTCTCAATATTTAGAAGCAGTATTACAAAAAGATGGACAGGATTCGAGTAACGAATCGGCATCGAACAGCGATTCTGAAAAGGAAAATAACGTAAGAGAAGAGATCAATAATAATAATCCTGATGAAACAGGTAACGTTATTTGAATTACGTTTAAATCGTTATATAAGAATATAAAGTGAAATTTATAATATTAATATTTACATTATTTACATCAGAATGTTTTATGTTACATTAATGTTTGTGTAATTTATACAGAAGTATTCTTATCGTATTATTCATAAAAGTTATAATACATATTGTTTATTATAGATATATCATTGTGTAACACATCAAAATATTCCATGAATTGTTACAAGGAAACGGATAAACAAAGTGGAAAACGGAAACGTAGTAGTAAGTAATTTTTCTTATCTGTCTCCAATTTATACCTGTACAAGTTCCAATAATACAAGCTTCTTTATCTTATTCTATAATAATAGTTCATTCTTAAAAATGTATTCTATTTATATTTTCAATATAATTCTAATATAATATAATATAATAATATATATAATATAATAATGTAAATCTCATATCTAATAAGTACATGCATGTAATTATATCTTGTGCCGTTCTTTTTTCACCGAATTTGCATACATAACGTAATATTTTATTATAATATTAATTACTAATTAATATTTAATACCAATTATTTAATACTAAATAGATACAATGATACTAAAGATTAAAAAATAAATAAATATAATAAACTGTCATTACTATTTAAAAAAACTATATATCGTGAAATATGTGGAATGAGAATGTTTGATTGTAGCAATCAACATAAGAACATGTTGATTGCTACAATCAATTTCTTCATTAATTCAAGTTTTTATGTTGAGATTTGAGAACAAATAGTATAATATTTTCATGCTTATTAAATTACTTTAATATCCTTTATGCTCTTCTAGCATCTCCTTATGGAAAAACAAAAAGGGTGCGATGGACAGAAGACGAGAAAGAAGCAGCGCTTCATGCATTTGCAGGACACATGGAAAATCATACATTGCCGTCTCTAAGAGAGATTCAAGAAGTAAAGAAAAAATATATTTCTCTTGCTCGTCGTACATCGCCGCAAATCAAAACGTGGCTGCATAATAAACAAAAAACCTTGCAATAATAGTGTAAGAGTTTGCAATTTCGTACAAAACATTTTATTATTGCTTGCCAAAGAATTTTGATTTTTTAAGACAATATGAAGCATTTTGATATCATCTCGCTCTTAATTTCGAAATTTAAAGTTAATATTTTAATATATAATTTTAAATATAGTTTTAAATATATTACACACACAGTATTATTCTGATTTATTATCTTTTTTTTGTCTTTTATACATCTGTGGTAACATGTGTATTGAAATATCGGATATATATATTGTGTGCGTTAGTTTTTCAACGTCATAAAAGTTGTGTTTCTAGTTCACATAGATAAATTTTATTCTATCTTTTGGTTTCAGTTTCATTGCCCCATTCTAAGAAGGCTCTGTGAAAGTATTCAACTCAAGATTAACATTGGATACATCTGGGTCATCGGATACATTGGATATGTCCAATAGTGAACCTGGACATTGCTATGCCTAGCGAATCTTTTATATCTCTTATATTATGTTGTATTAATTAGTTTATTAATTGTTTTTTATCACTTATAATACCGCTGAAAGTTTAAAGATTTAAGTTTAAGTTTAAGGTTGTTGCGAATTTAATCGAAGTTAATATGATTGAGGCAACCAATAGCAAGCAGAGATATATTCAAAATCTCTCAGTATTTAGAAGCTGTATTACAAGAAAATGCACAGGATACGAGTAATGAATCAGCATCGGACAGCAACTCTGAAAAGGAAAATAAATGGAATTTATAATATTAATATTTACATTATTTACCTTAGAATATTTTATGTCGCATTGATGCTTGTGTAATTAATACAAAAGTACTTTTATCGTATTATTCATAGAAGTTATGATACATAATGTAAATGTATCATTAATATGTAACGTCAATTATTATATTACGTCGAAAGATTCCATACATTGTTACAAGTAAACCGATAAATAAAATAATGTAATTATCACATTTTTATATTTATTTTTTTTATCAGAGTTGTTTTTGTTACGAGGACATAGCAATAATGATTTCAGATTATTATCATATACAATTTTATAATACACTATATTAGTATGTTACTTACATAAAATTGAGATTATCATATATTTCTTTCTCTTCTTTTTCTTTAGCACAGTGATTTCGTCATTTTAGGGTACAATATTGTTGTTTTCTTTTTTTTAGGACTAATAATCCCGATTGCGAATATCTCATCCTTGTTTATATATTCTTTATCCATATACCCAGTAAGCAATTTGATAACAAATTGTCGCCAAATTGGCATCAAATTCGGTCAAAACTTGGTAACAAATCCGGTGCCATCTGTGTCCGCATTAAGCTTGTGTTTTGGTGACAAAGCTTGCTGACATAACCTGACAGAAAGTTGACGGCAAAAAACGAGCAAAGCTTGACATGACTTGACGTCAAATTGGTGGCAAAAATCGAGCAAGATCTGCGCAAGACAATCTGACAGCAGATTGTCAGCAAAAACCGAACAAATTCTGCAGCTTTTGGCCATTCATATAAAATAGTATATTTAAATGGATTTAAAGTCTCAACCATAAGTAACAAAATGATGATAAGTTTTGGTCATAAAATGACCATTAGATAATTAAACATTATATAAAATCATATATTAATGTGTTAAAACATATAGATAAATTTAAATAATTTAATTTATAAAATTAAAGATCTTTTTGGACAGAAATTGTTCGAATAAGTGAAAATCGAACAATTATCTGTCCGATTTGCCAAAAATCAGTTCAATATCTGAATTTCCTGTATAAGAATTGTGTCAAAAATTGAACTGATAAAAATATATATATTATAATATTATTAGCGTTTTGCAGGCTTTATATACACTCATGACAAGAATTTGAATACGGGTATAGATAATGAATAACGCGCCGCATAGCGATAAGCGACTGAACTATTTTATAATTCTTTGTAATAAGCTGCAGATTCTGTTCGGTTTTTGCTGCCAATTTGCCATCAGATTGAGCACTTCAGATCTTGCTCAGTTTTTGCCGACAATCTGATGTCAGTCATGTCAGCAAG